GTCATTGTTGTTTGGCGGGTCCGGGCTGGGGATTCGAACCCGCCACCTTAGGTGTACGTGGCTGGCGCCTTAGCTGGTTGAGCTATAGGCGCCGAGCCACCAGTTTTTCCACTATTGTCCTTTTTCTGTTCCACAATCCACAGGATCCTACAATGCAATTAGTTGTTATTTCTTCTTAGTCTCCTGTAGTCTGTTATAGTTGTTTAGTTTTTTTGGAGACTCACTTTGTCGCCCTTGGTTGAGTCCTGTGGTGTCACAGTTCACAGCAACCTCCAACTCTTGGGCTTAAGCGATTTTCTTGCTTCAGCCTCCCAAGAATCTGGGACTATAGGCACCCAATAAGATGCTTGGCTATTTTTTAGAGACCAGGTCTTGCTCTTGCTCAGGCAATCTACCTGCCTCAGCCTCCCAAGTCCTGGGATTGCAGGCGTGAGCCTCTGCACCCAGCCCTTGTTTGATTCTTTTCCTTGTCTACTATGACCTTGACACTTTTTGAAGAGTGGTGAGACTTCTGTTTTCTTCTGGTTGGAGTGAGGCTGTGTACTGTGGCAGGAACACCATGTGGATGGTACTGCAGCGTTTTCAGTGCATCCTAGTCCTGGTGCTGAGATGTCTTATTCCTGGCGGTGGCAGTGTGTTCAGGTGGTGTCTTGCCAGGTTGCTTAGCTGTGATGTTTTGGCTTTCCCTTTGTAGTGCTCAGATTTCTAGGAAGGTTGTTTGAGACTATACTGTCTCTTTTTATTTCAGGTTGTTATCAACTTGGTGATGCTTTTGGCTGAAATGAAAGTACAGGAACGTACGGCTCCATCCTTGGCCATGATTTTGGTTAACAGTTTCCAGCTCCTGTATGTAGTAGATGCTCTCTGGAATGAGGTAAGAGCCAAGGCCTTGGAGTCAGCCAGTATTGAGTGTGGGTGACATTACCTCTCAGAACTTGAGCTTCTTACACACAAAGTGGGGAAATGCAGCCTGCCACCAAGGCTTGTTGTGAGGAGGACAGAGATGCTGTCTCCAAGTGAACACTGACAGGTGGGAAGTTTCCAGGCATTTGGTCGTGCTTCTATGTATATCAGCAGCTCTTTTATTTGAAAGTAATATTGTAAGTATTTTAAGGTTGGTTGGTTGAACTTGGTTTTTGTTTTTGTGAGTAGTGACCAATTCATATAAATAAAATTTAATCCCTTAATTATTATGTCACTTGACAATGGGTGGCTTATCATCATTTTAGGATGATATTTTCTGGATTATTGAGGAGCAGCTAGTTCTTAATGACAGGGGAGATCTTTTATTGTTAGTGTTTCAAAATACATAGAGTAGCTTACATTAGATGACTATAAAATCAGAAATTAAGATACGCGGAGGGAACCAGTTTAACCAAAGCTACATTTCCAGCTCATCTCTTCTCTCACACCTTGATAATCTGTTAGGGTTTCCTACTACTGGAAGATTGGTCAATGTTTATTTTCTCTGTCTTAACTACACACATTTCTTTTAAAAATTACTTCTTAAGCCTATTTTACAACTATTTTAGTATATTTACTCTTATATTTGTGATGATCTCCAAATTCCAAATCCAGTTTTCTAATTCCAAATTTAAAACTACTGGAAGATTAAAAAAAAAATTCCAAATTTAAAACTACTGGAAGATTAAAAAAAAAATTCCAAATTTAAAACTACTTAACTACACACATTTCTTTTAAAAATTACTTCTTAAGCCTATTTTACAACTATTTTAGTATATTTACTCTTATATTTGTGATGATCTCCAAATTCCAAATCCAGTTTTCTTTGAATTTTAATGTCCACAGTGGCAGCTGTACATTATAGTGTTCCAAAACAATTTTTTCTGGTGGTCTACTGAGATGGTCTGTTGACATTTTGAGAGAAGACCCCTTTCCTTTTGATTTAGAGGTGTTTTTTAACAAACCGTGTAATTTGGTTATCAATACTTTACTGCCCCATGCCCCACCAAGTTGGCCTTTAATTTTGGTCTTCTATGTAAGACCACAGAGAATATTTAGACAGAACAACTTTGCAAGTTTGATATTCCGATGATCTTCCTGTTGGTTAGGAGGATGAAAAGGACTTCTTTGAGGCAAACAAACCTCACTTGCAAATAGTGGGTTAGCGTGACCCAGATCACAGATTACTATGTTCCTACCACTTAACACAGCCCCTTCTTCCATGAGATTTGGAAGCTGTGAAGATGATGAAAGCATCCAATATTGAAGTCTTTTAGAATGCCAGTGCTACCCAAATACAACACCCATCTTTTTTTTGTTGTTGCAGTTTGGCCGAGGCTGGGTTTGAACTCGCCAGCCACATGCATCGAGTCTGTCGGATTCAAACCCAGCCTGGGCCAGGTAAACAACAGTGACAACTGCAACAAAAAAAAATTTCTGGGCGTTGTAGCAGGTGCCTATAGTCCCAGCTACTCGGGAGGCTGAGGCAAGAGAATTGTTTAAGCCCAAGAGTTTGAGGTTGCTGTGAGCTGTGACCCCATGGTACTCTACTGAGGGTGACTCGTATTCCAGAGCTGGCCTGCAGATATCCAGGTCCAGAGGTGATCTGGCTTATGCTGACCAAACCAGAAGAGGGTAATGCACTTTTTAAAATTTACGTGAAAAGTGAAACAGTTCACTGTGTTGCCAGGTAGCTTATTTTCTTCTGTGGAAAATCTACATGAAAAGCCAGATTGTGATCAGAAATTAGATTGGGGCACATGGAATTCAAGAGAATTGACTTTTATTCTCATGTTGCCTTTGGAAGAATGCTGTGGTATCACAGCTCACAGCAACCATAAACTCTTGGGCTTAAGTGATTCTCTCGCCTCACCCGCCCAAGTAGCTGGGACTATAGGTGCCCACCAGAATGGCCGGCTATTTTTTTTGTTGCAGTTGTCATTGTTGTTTAGCAGACCCAGGTCAGGTTTGAACGCACCAGCCCTGGTGTATGTGGCCAGTGCCCTAACCACTGGGCTACTGGTGCTGAGCTGAGAGAGAATTGATCTTATTATTGGGAAACGTGGTTTGAACACTTTTCCCCACGGGAGGCAGTGTGCTAGATACGGGTGTAAGAAAGGCAAAAACATGCGGTCCCTATCTTTCAAAGGCATCTTGTAGACCAGGGGAGAGAGAACCAGTTTCTGTAACCTGCTGCTGGATGTTGGCATCTGAGTGCCCAGTTTCAAGGGGGAGGAGCTAGGAAGGCAGCAGAGGGAGCAGGGCTGATGCTGAGGGTTGGAGGGGAGATGCCAGACACAGCAAGGTGCCAGGCAAAGCAGGGAGGCATTTTAGACATCTGTTATCTTAGGCACATGGCGTGTGTGACAGGATGATGACATGACGGCAGAATGACCTAGTATGATAGATAGACAGGCCAGAGAAACCAGACCTCTCCCTCTTTTAAAAAAAAAAGTGTTGGTTGGTGACCTGTCCATGGCCCTTATATATTTGCCTCTAAACTAGTACTTTATTTGAATACTTTAAAATAGAAGCTTTTTCTCCCTTTATGTACTTATAGGAAGCATTGTTGACAACCATGGACATCATCCATGATGGCTTTGGCTTCATGCTGGCTTTTGGAGATTTAGTGTGGGTTCCATTTATCTACAGCTTCCAAGCCTTTTACTTAGTCAAACACCCAAATGAAGTGTCTTGGCCAATGGCTTCTCTGATTATTGTTCTGAAAGGTGGGTATGAATTTTGGTCTCTGTGTGTGAAACATGTACTAAGTCTGTTGTGCTCTGATATCTACCTGTTGGTAATGTGCCATTTTCAGTTGTCATAATTAGCTCAAGTTGGGAGTAGTTTGTGATGAGTGAATAATAAGATTCTGTTTCTTATAAAGAGAATTGATGGTTCAAACTTGGGTTCTTCAGTAGTTCTCCAAACAGATTTATTTTATTTTATTAATTTTTAATTTTTTTTGAGACAGAGTCTTACTTTGTCACCCTCAGTAGAGTGCTGTGGCATCACAGCTCATAGCAACCTCAAACTCTTGGGCTCAGATGATTTTCTTGCCTCAGTCTCCCAAGTAGCTGGGACTACAGGCGCCTGTCACAGCACCTGACTATTTTTAGAGACAAGGTCTCGCTCTTGCTCAGGTTGGTCTCAACTCCTAAGCTCAAGCAATCCACCTGCCTTGGCCTTCCAGAGTACCAAGATTACAGGCATGAGTCACCTCGCCTGGCCCTAAACAGATTATTTTAAAATTTGTTTTAAAATTGTTTTAAATTTTAATAAATTTAACAAATTTAAAAATTTGTTTAAATTGTTTTAAAATTTAATAAATTTAAATAAATAAAGTTTGTTTTAGTAACAATTCATCTTTTCCTTTGAGTGCCTGCTTTTTGAAGGAGGCCTGGTCTTGCCTTCTTAGGGCTCACTGGTGCTCTAGTGGTGTGAGGTGTGTGAATGATGCTAACAAGAGAGAGATGATCGGAGTTTAGGCTAGAGAGAGTGAGAACTTCTCTGGGGAATGTCATTGTAAACCTATTGTACAATATGGTGTTCGATCTGAGTTTTAGTGGGTAAAATGTTTTTCAGGCACAGGGAACAACTCAGCAAGAGTGAGTGGGGACATGTAGGATGAGATTGAGGAAGAATGAGGAGCCCAGTTTGTGTGCAGCTGAAGTCCACTGGGGAATTTGTGGATTTCGCTTCAGGATGATTTTACTCTGTCCTTTGTCATTACTCTGTTTATTGAACACCTCCACCACAGGTTAAGTAGTGAACATTAGCTTTGAACTTCATGCATAGCTAGTTTTGCTATACTAATTAGTATTCCTGGTAGAAGAGGAAAATCAAGTCATTGGTTAAAATTAAGGTTTAGTTTCACCATTGTTAGGTATCAGTGTCAGCCCTGCTCATGTGTTATTGAAATGGTTTATTTTACAGTTAAGCTAAAAATGGGAGTATCTTAGTCTGTGCTGCTCAAACAATACCTGAGACAGGTCATTTGTAATGAATAGAAATTTATTTGGCACATGGATCTGGAGGCTGGGAAGGCCATGAACATGGCAGCGTCCTATGGCAGGAGGCAGAGGGGCAAGAGACAGGGAGAGTGAGAGACAGCAGGAGGGTCCCAGACTTGCTTTTATAACAAACCCACTTTTTTTTTTTTTTGAGACAGAGTCTCACTATGTCACCCTGGGTAGAGTGCTGTGGCATCACAGCTCACAGCAACCTCAAACTCTTGGGCTTAAGGATTCTCTTGCCTTAGCCTCCCAAGTAGCTGGGAACTATAGGTTCCCACCACAGCGCCCAGCTATTTTTTGATAGCCATTGTCATTGTTGTTTAGCAGGCTTGGGCCAGGCTCACACCTGCCAGCTTCAGTGTATTTGACTGGTACCCTAACCACTGAACACAGGTGCCCAGCCACAAACCCACTTTTGAGACAGCAAACCCAGTCCTGTGACAGGGTCACTGATTCATTCTCTTAAACATCCCACCTTTCAAACTGTTGAGTTGGTGATTAAGTTTCCAACACATGGACTTTGAGGACACATTCAGACCATATTTCTTATTATTTATTGAGGACTGACAATATAATAGTTATAGTAGTTATAGTTATATGTAAGGGCCCATTTATTTGACATTTTGAAACTTGAATAAAGTTATAAACATGGAGGTTTGTAGTGGAATTCCCCATATATTTAAAGTATGAGATGTTCTGTGCTGACGCTAAGCTCATATGATTAATCCAGTCCTGTGCTGTAGCCATGAGGTATCATACATAGCAGATGAGGTAGCTGGTAGTTTTGATTACACAGAATACTGGCATTGATTTTTATTGTAATGTGGGCTGTCTTAGAGTTTATTTTTTTCATAGATGTAACTATGTTAGTTTTGTCTTCAATGGAAAGTAGTGTGATAGATTTCAGAAGACTTATTATCTTTTTACATTCTAGAAGTGAGAGGTTTGGAATTGTTGCTAAGACTCAGACTGTCCTCTGCTTTTGGAATTTCCTCAGAGCACAGAAATAATTTCTAAGAGAAATTACAGATGCACTTAAGTGTTAGATTATATCTAAATTTCTTAACATAGAAAAATATGTTAAAATTACAGTTTGTGGATATGTAATCTTCCGATGTGCAAATTCTCAGAAAAATGCATTCCGGAAAAATCCCAGTGATCCAAAGCTTGCTCGTAAGTATTGATTTATATTTATGTTACATGTATATATACATATTAAATGAAGATTTTATGTCTCTTTTGGTTTAGAGCAATGGTTCTCAACCTGTGGGTCATGACCCACAGGAAGTGTATTAAAGGGCCGCGGCATTAGGAAGGTTGAGAACCACTGGTTTAGAGGTTATTAAAGATGTATTTTAATTTTTATATAGATTTAAAAACTATTCATACTTCAACGGGGAAAAGTCTTCTGGTTTCTGGATGGTGGGGCTTTGTTCGCCACCCCAATTACCTGGGTGATCTCCTCATGGCTCTGGCGTGGTCCCTCCCGTGTGGTAAGCATCTCAGATGAGCGTTCATTTCCTTTAGCCACCCAAAGATGTGTCTGTGTGTGTCGGGACCGTGGGCAGGTCAGTGTGGTTGCCCTCCTGTAGGTTGGGTTGGCCAGAGCAGATGAGACAGCTCCTGACCTAGGAGCTGTTTTCTTTATATGCAGCACTGCATTTATCTAGCTTCTGAGGAGAATTCACAGAGCCTGAAATTTTAAACTTTTTTTTCTTTTTTTTTTTTTTAGAGACAAGGTCTTATTTTGTCGCCCTTGGTAGAGTGCCATGGCGTCACAGCTCACACCAACTTCCAGCTCTTGGGCTTAGGCTATTCTCTTGCCTCAGCTTCCTGAGTAGCTGTGACTATAGGCACCTGCCACAATGCCTGGCTGTTTTTTGTTGCAGTTTGGCTGGGGCCGGGTTTGAACCCGCTATCCTCGGTATATGGGGCTGGCGCCCTACTCACTGAGCCACAGGTGCCACCCTACTTTAAACTTCTAAAAGCAAAATTTTGAGTATTCAGCTGTGCCTGATAACTTTTTTCTAAGTAGAATATATGGGAATTAATTTTTAATTTATGACTTGAGTGTATTTAGATTCAGAAACCATTTATTTATTTTTTGAGACAGAGTCTCACTTCAATGCCCTCAGTAAAGTGCTACAGCATCTTAGCTCACAGCAACCTTAAACTCTTGAGCTCTAACAATTCTCTTGTTGCAGCTTCTGGAGTAGCAGGGACTGCAGGTACCCCCCCTAAATACCCAGCTGTCACTCTTGGTCAGGCTGGTCTCAAACTCCTGAACTCAGGCAACCCACCCACCTTGGCCTCCAGAGTGCTGGGAAACGTTTGGTTCTTAAGAAGTTCTTTGTGTTTGTCCTCACTCCACAGGAGCTATGCTGACTGGGCTGTGGGTGCTCCTGGTTGTGCTGTTCCCTGGCCCACAATGGAAAAGGGCAGTTTTTCTTCTTTTTGAGGGAAGGAGGGCATGAAATGGAGAGATTTGCATTAAACGTGAGGACAGGCTCAGTACCTGTGGCTCAAGCGGCTAAGGTGCCAGCCACATACACCTAAGGTGGAGGGTTCGAGTCCAGCCCGGGCCGCCCAACAACAATAATGGCTGCAACCAAAAAATAGCTGGGCGTTGTGGCGGGCACCTGTGGTCCCAGCTACTTGGGAAGCTGAGACAGGAGACTCACTTGAGCCCAGGAGTTGGAGGTTGCTGTGAGCAGTGAAGCCATGGCACTCTACCCAGGGGGACAGCTTGAGGCTCTGTCTCAAAAAAACAAAACAAAAAACCAAAAAAACCCCATGAGGACAAATGTTCTAAATATAGTTAGAATGGATTGCTAATCACTCTTCTCTGAGTTGCTTTTAGTTTAGATACTACCTTCCGTCACACACCAGTGGGTTTTTATGGGTCAGTATAGTTGTTTTTCCTGTTAATCGGAGAAAATGAAGTAATCTTGTGGTTTATTTTTAAAGAATTTGGGGGAAAGCAGGAAAAAATATTCTGTAGTGAAAATAAAAATACCTAATCCTATTTACTTTGTGATCCACAGGTTTTAATCACATTCTGCCTTATTTCTATGTGATTTATTTCACCATGTTGCTTGTCCACCGAGAAGCCCGTGATGAGAACCACTGTAAGAAGAAGTATGGCTTGGCTTGGGAAAAGTATTGTCAGCGTGTACCCTACCGTATATTCCCATATATTTACTAAATTTGGTCTGTCATATTTTAAAAAATATTTTTGCAATTCTGGCTTCCATTTGCAAAAACAAGAAAAAAATTCAAAACTAAATTTCTTTTGTTGCACTGACAGGATCTGTAAATTTTTTTCCCTCTTGAGTCAGGACTATAGATAGAGCCAAGTAGTAGATCTTTTAATATACCCATGTTTTTATAACATAAGGAAAAATACAAATAAGGATATTAGATTTGCATTTTGAGAGGAAATCTTCAATCCTGAAAAATCTGAAAACAGTCTTACTATAAATGCACTATAAAGAATACTATTGATGTGTAGGGCTTTTGATTACTTTTCAAATTTTGATTTTTTTTCTCTTTTGCCAGTTTTTTCTTAAAACATTATTATATTTAAAATGCATTTGGTTTATTTCGGTAAGAAAATAGAATCTTCATTTGCTTCTCTTTAAATTAAATCATTTACTAGTTATATAATTTGAAAGTAAAAACTGGGCCTATATTAAATATTATATGTGAAGAGTGATGAAAAATTATTAGCAGACACTGTTTGAGGGAGACCATGAGTAGCAGTTGGCTTACCCTCAACTTCTTAAACTATGTTTGAAGATGTAAATACATAGCTTACTTTATGTAATATATGGGGACTTCGGATTTTTCTGTATAATATTTTAAATGTGAGATGATTGTTAGCACTGTTTTTTAAACAAAAACATTTTCAGTATTTTAAATTAAGTTTTGTAAAGTAATACATGTGAATTAAAAATTTTGAAACAATTAGAATTCATTTAATATTGTATAGAAGATGCTGTTAAAACATAGGAAGAATATTTTTCTTAATCCAAAGTTTGTGAATTTGGCTTTGCTACCTCACTTGCAGGTGTTGGTTTTTTTTTTTTTCCTTTATAAACTATTGCAAATAGAAAAAATAGAATAAATATATATTTTTGGAGTTACATCAGTATTTAAACATTTTTACACAGATTGGTGTTTGAAAAAAAATTGCCATTTCAGGCTAATATTTTTATATATTTGACTTTTTAAAAATTCAACAGTGTTTTTGCTAAACTGTTTTTGCTTTAACTGTTTAGCTCATGCAGTTTATACTGTATTTTTTTGTATATCCTTTATACTTACAAAACTTTACTCCCTATAAGGGAGTGTTATCTAAAAACAACTTAAGCATTAAATCATTTCTTTCAGTTTAATAGATATGCATATGGTAGCTGTAGCCATTAAATTCTAGTGAAGTTGATGAAGTCTCATTATTCATTGTCCTATGATGGAACAGTAAGCAAATTCACTGAATTTTTATATTCAAAGTTAGATTGTTTTCAGTACCTTAACCATAGAGGAATGTAATAAACATGATGTGTATGTCTGAGATTTTACTATACATTTTCTATATGAGCCATTTAGATATGCAGTGTTCACAATTTAAAGTGTATGTGACTTAACTAAAATGTGATCATGAAGTTGGTTTGCTATAGCATTCCTCATTCTGTAATCTTTAAACATTGTTTTAGTGAAATTGTCATTGTCTTATGAGTACTGATGTCTGCAGTTTTTTAATTTTGCTTTTCTCCTGACATCCAAAAGTGGTGTCCCAGTATGTTCTGTATTAAGATTCGCCAAGGAAGCATTAGAGGAGGAAGAAGGACATTTGATTCTTTCCCTGGTAATGAAAAGAGCCTGTTATCTGCATAGTGTTTCAGTTTCTGGATATCAGCTGCAATTTGTTTTTAATTTTGTCTTTGACGTGTTTATTTGACAAGTTTTATAATGAAGTTTTATGTTGGAAATAAAGTTGAAAATGTTGCCTTGATCACTTTGAAGTCTCATTTTTTTGCCTGCAACTCTGTGATTACTGGGACCAAGGCAGGAGTCCTTAGATTACAACCCCCACCCGAGCTCCTGTATTTTTAGGGTTATTTACTTGGAACTCTTCTGGACCACAGGGAGTTCAAAAGGCAAATGGGCACCCCTGACAACCTGCTGTGTGTACATCAAACCTGGAGTTAGGAAAACTGCTTCAGGTTTGATGTAGTTAGTGCTCGATTATCACAGTACTTTCATGTGAATTCATATTAATCATAGAATCATTTATGTGCATTTGAAAGGGGATACATGTGTGAGAGACATTTACGGGTGCTAATGTGGGAGCCAAACTAATTAACTCAAGTCACAAGTCAAACTACCTCCTTTTGTTGTTTATTCAGAAGGACCTTATCATATCTAGGTGTTACAGCCCACATCCCCACCCCCTCCCCTTTGTCCCAATAGCCCCCTTGTGCACTCAGCCCACATCCTGTTCCCCTCCCCTTTTTGCACTCACCGCTCTACTCTGCGACCTTTATCCCTTCCTTCTCATTCGCTCACCTGAGACAAAGAAGACTCGTCCCTGAGCCAATCAGCCACGACCACCCTGTACCTGTCAGTTTAGGACAGACATGGTTTACCTACCAATAAGGGAATGGGGTGGGATGGTCTAATGGGAGGGAAGAGGGGAAGGTATAAAGGAACTTTCTGGATAGTCTGTAAGGACGGTTCCCGCTTTTTCTTATAAGGGCAGCCCAGGCTCTGAACTTGAATGAATAAAACTCGTGCCTTTGCAGCGATGTTCAGACTCTCAGAGTGGTGCTTGAATTGAGTCTGGGGGTTAACACTGACAGTGTGTAGTGCTCATTCGAGTCTCTGGTAGAGTCTTAACTCTGAGGTGTGAAATAAGATCAGACAGCTTCATCTGTGAATTCCTCTTCCTAGCATGATACTACATGGTGGCATTTACATCGCAGGAGGTGGGTTTGTCAAAATTTGCACCAACACTAAACAAGTTAAGAATACCACATATGGGCTCAGCACTTATAGCTCAGTGGCCAGGGTGCCAGCCACATACACCAGAGCTGGCAGGTTCGAATCCAGCCTGGGCCTGCCAAACAACAATGACAACTACAACCAAAAAATAGCTGGGCATTGTGGCGGGCGCCTGTAGTCCCAGCTACTTGGGATGCTGAGGCAAGAGAGTTGCTTAAGCCCAAGAGTTTGAGGTTGCTGTGAGCTGTGATGCCACAACACTCTACCGAGGGTGACAAAGTGAGACTTTGAGTCAAAAAAAAAAATCACATATGATTTATACTTTGTTACTTAGTTTTACACTGTTTGGAAAAAATGATGAAGTATAGAATTTTAAGAAGCAATATAAGATGGGGTCTTACTAGGTACAATTAATTCACTTGCATATAGACAGTACAGATTCCTACTATACAAAGAGGTGTTGATATTTTGCTCTTGGCTATTAAACTAGTGTTGGTTATAAGTCCCACCCTTTCCACCTTGCCCCTTTCCTACAGGGAGAATGGACTATTTGATCTTCATTTGTGTCCACATGTATGTTTTCTGCCCATGGACCATTGCCAAGATAAGGTGATACTAAAATGTGGCTTTGAATTCTAGCTCTGCTCTCCCTTGGCACTGTGGGCTTGGGCATATTACATCAGCTCACTGAGTTACCTCATGTGTAAAATGTGGCTGATATGTCCACATTATATAGAGCCGGTCTGAGGATTATACAGGAATTATTGGTGCTTGATTATACCATTACTAAGAATAAAATTAATATAATTCTCTACAGAAATGTTAGATACTAGTCTAATTTACCAGAGTCTCAGGATTTGTTTTAGTGAATTGTCATTGTCTGTTTTCTTTCTTCCCTTTTTTTTTTTTTTTTTTTGAGATAGAGTCTCACTTTGTTGCCTCAGTAGAGTACCATGGTGTCATAGCACACAGCAACCTCAAACTCTTGGGCTCAAGCAATTCTCTGGAGTAGCTGGGACTACAGGTGTCCACCACAACACCCAGCTATTTTTAGAGATGAGGTCTCCATCTTGCTCAGGCTGATCTTGAATCTGCCTTGGCCTCCCAAGTGCTGGATTGCAGGCGAGCCACCGTGCCCAGCCTCATTGTTTTCAATGGCCAGAAAGGGCTAGTGAAGTCAGAACTGGACTGCATTTCTTTAAGGGAAGAAGAGCCTTCTCTTTTATCTCAGAAGTCTGTAGCCAGGCCAGCAGTGTAGTATTCTAGCAGTGTAGTTTACGCAGAGCAGCCAGGGGAAGAATTTCAAAGAATCCTACACATGTATATTTTATAGTATGTAACCGCACAAGTCACTTCATCAAAAGTTAATAAAAGTACACCCTAGCTGGGCATGGTGGCTCACACCTGTAATTCTAGCACTTTGGGAGACCAAAGTTGGAGGATCACTTGAGGCCAAGTGTTCAAGATCAGCCTGGGCAACATATCAGACCCTTAAATAAAGAAAAATTAGCTGGGCATGGTGGTGTGCACCTGCAGTCCCAGCTCCTGAGGAGGCTGGGTCATCTGAGCCTAGGAGTCTGAGGTTATGGTGAGCTATGTATGATTTAGCCACTGTACTCCAGCCTGGATGAAAGGGCTTCTTAAAAAAAAAAGGAAAGAAAAAAGCCCTGATATCTTGCCAAGTACAGTGGTTTTTACTGGTAGGTACAGATGAAAGAGATTGTACCTATTCAGTGTGTTTGAACACATAAATGTTTTTATGAAGTGTGTTTCATGACATATACGTGAATGTTTAAAATGCAAATTTAGTTGGAGTAAAAAATTAAAATACGTTGGTATGGAAACTTAAAAAAAATTTTATTCTTCATTCATTCTTCTCACATAGCAATGCAACCTGCATTGTGATCCAGTGACTAGGATGTTTCTTTGTTGGTAAATACACTGATGTTAAATAGTTTGTTGATAAACCAGTGGTTGCCAAAATTCTTGACCTCTCAGGTGTCTGGTATACTGGGCATTCAAAAGTATAGAGTTCTGGATCTGTCTGGTTAGAAGCATTTGGTGTTTCAGCTGAAATCTTAAAACAACAACAACAAAAAATCCAATAAATTGCACAGATCAAGCAAATCTGTAGCTCACATTTTCTACAAGCTAGGTTTGGGGAATTTGTTATGAATTTAAGATTAAAAGGTTAACTGCATATGGAAATTATGCTTGGAGAATTTAAAGAGCAATTATGGCATATTCTTGAGAAATAACATTGCACGTTAGTATTTTAGGTTTTAGCAATATTTTGGGCTGTTGCAAATGTTTGCTGTCTGAGGTATATCATCAAATCTTCCTTGTTAAATTGTAGGGAATTGGGGTAGAAGGAGCGGTTTATATTACTGAGGAAAAGCTCAGACGTTGAGGACTTTGTGATAAACAGTTGAGTGGTTTACCTTTGTTGGCGCAAAGTATATGTCAGGAAAATCACAACACATCTCAAGAGGCAGCGAGTCGTCTAGTATGCTTTGTTCATGATTCCACCTTGCTCCCTCGATGAATAAGCCAAAAATGTAAACTCCACTGTGGAAGGAGTCTGAGCCCTGAGACGGAAGAAAGGTGGTGTCAGTGAGTGGTCCCCCAGGAGAAGCAGTGAGCCCAGCTAGAGGCTCCAACCCAGAGGTGAGCCTAACCAGAGGCTAACCAGATGGTGAACCTGACCATCTGAGGTGCTTCCCCCGACACCTCGGGGAGGGTCATGCCCAAGGCATGTTGTCCCAAATTCTAAGGTGAATACTTAATTCTTTTCCTACCCTGACACTTAAAAAAGTTTGTGGGCTTTGGTTTACCTACATAATGATGAATTGACAAACATTACCGAATGTAATAACCCGGATTTCTACAATTAGAATCTTATAGTTGAGGTTTTTTAGGAGACGGAGCAGTTACAAAAGGATTAAAAAAGAGTGCCCTGTGCTCAAACTTTGTTGCTATCTCTATCATGGTGGCTACCGCTATCATTTAGGCTCTGGAAATTTAAAAAAGGCTGGGAAGGGTTCCATATCATGTCTTTAAATGATACAGGTTAAATAAATGATTGAAGTTAAATGATGAAAGATTAAATAAAATGAGTTTCTGATGAGATCTGTGAAGTGGAAAATTTAGTTGCCAGCATCTCCAATTCCTGGTGACTCCAGGTATGCCTGTGAAGTTATGCTCTGTCCCATAGGTGATAGGACCCAGAGGAGAGGGGCTGCCGCGCCTCAGGCCATCAGGGAGGGCTCTGCCTTCTCCTTTGACCCAGCGATCCAGCAGGTCCCTGAGGAGAGGGGAGAGTGCAGCTGTCCTGAGCTCACCCTCGAGGCCCTTTGGGTTAGCTCCTGGACACAGGAGCTGCAGTGTGGAGCAGCCCATGCTGTGCTTGGTGACACTTTCTGTGATGCCCAGTGTATGGAATGTGCATGTGGAGGTGCAAACTGAGCTCATTTAATTAAGCACCTCCTATTCTGGCTTATTCTCTGACAGCCTTGTAATGGGAGTTGCTTTGCATGATGAGTTTTACTTCTCTTCCCTTTAACTCATATCGTATAAATGAAAAGTTTCATATGATGCGTCTGTTCTAGTGTTGTCCTTTCATAAAAATTTTGGAAGATGTTAATCTAATGAATTTGACAATCTGATTTCTGCTTATAATTGTATAATTTGGCAGTGGCATAAATGGGCCTTTCCTCTGAAAAGCCCAAATTTCAGGTAATTTGTCGACATCCCATTTTGGATGATTGAACTCTCCAAAAAGCCACAAGTAATCTTACTTTACTTAAATGGAAACTGGTTCTTGGTATAAAGTAGAAATAACGGAGCACATCTGATTGAATGTATAGAAACAAAAAGTGAAGTCAGGAGGGCAGCTTATCCCCTGCTCTCCCTCCGTAAGGCGTATGAAGAGGCTGCGGCTTCCACACGCCTCCCTGCAGCCTTCTCATGTCTAATGGGTTGTGTAGGAAGAGGTTAGGACATAGGCCAGCCTTGGGTTCAAAGTTTATGATCTGCGCTCTTCCAGTCTATAAAGTGAGGATAAATAGCAAGGATTAAATAATTCTGATAAAGAGTTGAGTGTAGTATCCGGCACATGGTAAATGCTCAGTAAACACTGGCTAATAAGCATCATTGCCATCATTATCAGGTAGATTGTCATTTTCTGATGGGCAGAAGCCAGAATTTGTTCATCTCTAAATTCCCAACAGCTATCACAGTTTTGTATACATATTTTCAAGTGAATAAATTAATAAACAATTTGAAAAAAAGTCTAAAATACATCTGAACTTTAGATTTCTTCCATTTGCCACCTAATTTCTCCTAAAACTCCAGTAACAGGGCTGCCTTTCTACAAAGGGATACTCCAACTGACATTGTCATTTCAGACCAGGTGAATGAGTCAGTCTTTCCCGTGGAGACCGCCTCCTCGGAGTTCTACTTCTAGCAGAATTAGAGTCTGGTTCTTTATGTACCACCCTTTTAAATACTCCTTTTTCTTCTCAGAGTCTTTTCTCCTTTAGGATGGATTCTTTCAGTTCCATCCTTCTGATATGTTTTCTAAAGTTCAATCCTTCTGTAAGTTCTCTGAGTCATTTCCAAGCACAGTTTGATGAGTGCTGAGAAGAGGAAGGCCAGGACTGGACCGAGAGGACAAACGGCATAATGCTGGGCACCTAATTTCAGAATGCGGTCATAAAACACCCTGAATTTCAGAATGCAGTCATAAAACCATTGGAAAACAAGAAGTATCTATTCCCAGTGGGCCAGAAACTATGAGAGCTCTAAAGACAGAAGACACAAAGATTTAGATTAAAGAAATCTCAGTCAATAACATGAAGAGTAAAAACTAAATAACAATATCATTCCTCCACTCAAAAAACCTCCAAATCCTACATACTGATCTCTAAAGAAAATGCTGATGCAAAGCTTTGAATGAAATATTATAATTAGGATGATTCGATCTCAGGAAATCTTTTAATATAATTAATCATATTGAGAAAAGTGAAAAATCTTGTGATTACCTCTATAGATGCTAAAAAGATCTTTCACCACATTTAGCTTCTATTCTTCATAAAAATTCTTAATATAGAAATCATAATTTAAACTCCAGATAGTCTAATTATGTAAGCTGCCATGTTAATAAGATTAAAGATAAAAGCTGTCTGATTGTTTCAATAGATGCAGAAAATCATTTAATAAATTCATTACCAGGCACATCTCCTGGTTACTCAACTACAACTCAGACTTTATCTTACAAATGCAAACAGTGTAACCTAATCATATGTACCCTTATATTAAAAAAAAAAAATCTATTCATGATTTAAAAAAACTCAACAAATTAGGATGGAAGGAAAGGTTTTTTTTTTTTTTTTTTTGAGACAGAGTCTATGATGTCCTCAGTAGAGTGCTGTGTTATCACAGCTCACAGCAACCTCAAACTCTTGAGCTTAAGTGATTCTTTTGCCTCAGACTCTGGCTATTTTTTGTTGCAGTTGTCATTGGTAGTCAGTTGGCCTGGGCTGGGCTTGAACCCGCAATTCTTGGTGCATGTGGCTGGTACTATAACCACTGTGTTAATGGTGCCAAGGCAGAAGGAAGAGTTCTTAATCTACCAAAACCTATAATTGACATAATACTTAATGATGAAATATTAAATGCTGTTCTCTGAGTTTTAGGAAAAAAGACAAGGATGTTTATTATTAACTTTTTTTATTGAACATTGGACTAGAAGGAAATTGAAGAACTATATAAATGTTTACATTACATTTAAGATAGAGAAATAAAAATGACCTAAATAAATATTTATGATAGAAAGTCTCAAAATTATTAAGAGGTTAACTTTCCAAAAACAAAGACAACTTTAAAGAAAAGCAAATTTGGGGAACCTTATGCTACCAGATATTAAGACTTACAATAATGCTACAGTACGTAAAATATTATGGTGTTGGTGCAAAGATAGACATATCAGTGGAACAAAATAGAGACTCCAGAAATAGACCCAGGCATATACAATTATTTATGCAATTATCTATGACAAAAGTTGAAGTAGAGAAAGGATGCATATTTCAATGGAAAAGAAATGGTAATAAGTTAGTTGGGGACCCACATGGAGCAAAAAGAACTTTGAGCCCATGTCATACAAAACACAAACTCATTTGATGCAGCATATACAAGGCCAAGCAATGTAGTTTCAAGAAGATAACAGAGAATAAAGAAGATATTTTCATGATCTTGGGGTAGGGAAAGATTTCTTAAATAGGACATAAAAAAGTACTAATGTTAAAGAAAAGATGAATATACTGGACTTTGTTATAACAAAGAATTTTTTGTTTATCAGAAGACACCACTAAGAAAATGAAGCAGAAGATCACATACTGGGAGAAGATACCTTTAATATATCTATTTGATAAAGGACTTATATCCAGAATATGTAAAGAGTTTCTATAAACTAATAAGACAAAGACAGCTTAATTATTAATAAAAAATCGTCAAAAACCTCAGAAACTTCACAAAAGAGGAAATCCAAATATCAATAAGCATTTTAAAAGGTGCCCAACTTCATTAACCATCAAGGAAGTGTAAGTTAAAACAAAACAAAACAAAAGATACCACTACACACACACTAGAATGACTAAAATTAAAACACTAAAAACACCAAGTGCTGGCAAGGATGTGGAGCAGTCTTCCACTTACTGGTGGGCCTACAGATTGGTACCACCTCTTTGAAAAACCGCTTGGCAGCTTCCACACCAAACATGTGGCTCTCTATGACCGTCAGTTTACAGTCATGCACCGCATAATGACACTTCAGTCAACAGCTGCATAATGACACTTCAGTCAACAGCTGACCAAGGCGGTTCCACACTATGACAGTGAAACTGCAAAATTACTTTCATCTCATGACATCATAGACAGGAAGCAACACATTACCTTTTCTATATTTAGATACACAAACACCACTGTGTCACACTTGTCCCAGTATCTAGTACAGTAACATGCAGTACAGGTTTGCAGCCCAGGAGCAATAGGCCGTGCCATATAGCCTAGGCGGGTAGTAGGGTCTGTGGTGCACTCCACGATGGCCACACAGTGATGAAATCACCTAATGAACATACTCCTGTCGTTAAGTGACACATGCCTGTATTTATTTATTCATTACTAGCTTTTCTTATTTTGATTGTAGTCAACCTGGGTATAGAATTGTTTTAGTTTGCATTTCTCTAACTAGAGATATTCAGCTTCCTTTAACATTTTTTTTAATCCTTTGACCAATATCTGCCCCTCAACTTTCCACCAGCATTGATCCTGGAGCAGAAAAATAGATTCCTAGATTCTAGAACAAGTTGGAATTTAGTAAAAGACAACCAGGGCTTTTCAAATCAGTAGGGGACAATAGCCAGAGAGTGGCGGGACTGGGTTTTGTGCCCAGCATCTGGCTATCTCTGCACTCCTAGCCTGGGCAGCCTCCTGGGGTACTTCTCACTGTGTTTGCTGAGGGCCAGTTTTGGGGGTGTCTGCTTGGCACCTGGCTGAGCTGTGGAATGAGTGGGTTCCTGGGGGCAGGCATGTCAGCCAGGAACAGTCTCGAGAGGTTTGCCCACTGATTTGAAAGAACACCTTTAAAGTCTGACCTCAGCTGCATCTGTCTTCCTCAATAAATGGGGATAAAGTTCATTCATTATACCAACTTAAATCTTTTATTATTTATAATTTTTTATTTCTCCTAGAAAGAGAGTGGAGAGATGAAGTTTGATGGCTTTTGGACTTGAAGGGGGGAATGCCTTGTTTTCCACCTGCCACTGCATGCCTGGCCTGGCAAGGGCTGAATAAGGTTTTGTTGAGGGAATGATTGAATGAATGAATGAATGAAGATTTCCCTTTTCTAATCTTTGAAGTATTCCAGTACCTTAAAGGCTCTCGTGACTATGTTGAGTTTTTTTTGGATAATGATGGAGAATTCCTCTGTGTTATCGGCGGTGTCGGAAATCACACGGTGGGTGAACGTGAGCGAGTCCGTGGAGATCTTTCGGGCCCTTCCATAGTCTTGAAGCACAGCAGTAAGAAAGGCTGTGGAGAAAACCCCACACCGGCAGGCGCCTGTGAGTCTAAGGATTCCTGCAGGGTTAGTGACACTAATGCCTCATGGGGAAGGGAGGGGAGACTGGAGGAGAAAGCTCAAGGAACAAAAAAGACAGGTTGGAGGCAGGGCTAGGCGGTAGGAGGGCCTCAGTCCACCCCCTCGCCCAGGTCTGGGTGAAATCTGGCTGGTCGGCTGCAGGGGCCTCCTGGACACTGTGTTCTTGGTTCAGCACCCTTCCCATGTTCATGGTGGGGACAGAGGGGCCATAAATCCCAGGACCCTCTCCATTTCTGGCCCAATCTTGGCTGATCGTCATACCTCATGCTCTTGACAACAAAGACAGATCCCAGAGGCTAGTATGAGAATAATTATGTCAGAGTTTTTCTCGAGAAATGACACATGGCTACTGGGGAAGGAGGGTTCTTTTTCCTCCGGGAGTTGCTAAGCTACTGCGGCCACCTTCCCCCCGATTTTCTCTGACTGCACGCGTGGCAGGACACAAATGAGCACCTGGAGCTGCACATGCTGTTGTTTCCACCCTGTCAGTTGGCACTGCTCCCTGTGCTCCCCGTTCCGGTGACCCGCATCAGCACCCAGCTTTCCAAGTCAGACCTGGCAGCTGTGCTTCACCTTGCCCCCTGCCCACCTGTGTCCCTTTCCCACGTGGAGTCCAGCTGGTCCCGCTTCCCGCGTGTCCTTCTCCACACTTCTCTTCTGCCCCGCTCCATGGCCCTCCTCCCACCAGCCCCAGTTCTGCCTGGACACTGGAGCACACCCCAGATGAGCAGAACCCGCCCTCTTGCCCTCCATCCACACCGCAGCTGCTGGACATGACCTCCCTGGCCTGAAACACTTTGGTGGTGCCTCCTGCCACTGGGTGGAGGTGTGTCCTGCAGTGTATCTGACACCGCCCAGGGCGGCTGTGCCCATCTTTCCAGCTTCGTGGGCCCCCTTCTCCCTCTGAGGACCTTTTGTTCTGTCTGGAATGAACATGTGCCTTCTCTAGTGTGCTTCACTGTCTCCCTGCTGGCAAGCTCTCTGATAAGCCTGCTATTCCCAGCTAGTGTAGTGGGTAAGTCAACTTTAAAAGTCAGACAGGCTGAGTTAAAAATCTTTGTTCAGTCACTTATTTTTTTGTTTTTGTCCAAAGTTATATAGCTTACTAGCAGTATAACTTTGGGCAGATTTCTTAACTTCTCTATGTTAAAGTTTTCTATCTGAAAATAGGACTAATTATGGTAATAACCTCATAAGATTGTCATGAGAATTGAATGACTTAATTTATACGAAGTCCTTAGAACAGTGCCTGGCACCCAGTAAATGCCATGTGAGCACTGTACACTGTTATTTATCCTCTTCTTCCTCTGTCCCCTCTGGATGATACTTAACTTGCAGCAAGCTTCAAGTCTCATCCTAGAAGTTATTTCCTCAGTGCCCCACTGGGCCTAAAGTTAAGATACCCCTGTTTCATGCTCCAGAAGAATTGACTCATTCACAGATTCATCTAGAAAGTCATTGCTCATTCTTCTAATATTTATAGAGGACTTTTATGGTACTGAGTGCTGGGGATACCACAGCAGTTAATGCAGATCTGGTTCCTGCCTTCCTAGAGCTTACAGTCTGGGGTTGCCCCTTTACGACTCCCCAAGCACCCAGCCACACATTCTGGCTAAAGTCTCTTTGCTGTTGAACATCTGTGCTGAGCAGGTGGGGTGAGATCCCAGTAAACATTCAGTCATCAATTCTTGTCAAAGGAATAAATCAATGGGTGCGTGAAGCACAGAATCCATCCCAGGTAAGGTGCCCATCTCTAATCCTTTGTCGTGGCCTTTGGGAGGGATCTGGTGTTGCCCTGGAGATGAGCGAGTGCCCTGCTTAGGCACAGGTGAAGCCTGGAAGGGTGGGTCCATTTTGAGATGGGAGGAGATTGGAGTGAGGGAAGGAAGTGGGTGGGGAGCAAGAGAGAGATTGCCTAAGTGCCTGTAAGAGATTCAGACTCAGGCAGCTGTGGGGATGCAGGTGCTGTCACCTGGGTTCCTCCATCCTAAGGAGAGGAAGGGAGGTGGGGGGGGGGCATGAGTGGAAACGTGCCTGGGGCTGATCCTGGTTCTAATGCTCACCTTGTGGGGAGAAGAAAGCTGGGAGCCAGTATCTTGCAGGAAATCCTTCAGAGTAAATACTGTAACTATTGTCCGAATCAGAAGTTTGTTTGTTCTTTGATGAAGCAGATTGCTTCCAGGATGTGACTAATCTCATATACCTAGTGGAAGGCAGACCATGGGTTGGGTGAGTTAAGGGCACAATTGTACACCTTTAGGGCACCTGGGCAATTCCCTCCACACTCCCCCAGTTTCCTCCCTTTACTTTTCATCTCGACTTTCCCTGCTCAGGACTCTTGCCCTGTGTAGGCAGTCCCCGCATTATAATCACCTGAGTTAGTGGACAACTCACACGCAGGAATGGAGGCTATTACGGTAAGTCCCCAAGTTATAAATATCCCACTGACACATGGCGTGTACTTAAGGTAGTAGGTCAATATACCTGTTCCAACTTAGATACAAATTTAACCGAAGAACAAACCTATGGAACTTATCTCTGTCATAACCAGGGACTGCTTTTATTTGAATGGAAACAAGCTATGGTTTTAAGCTTGTGAAGGAAAAGAGATACCCTGCAGTTTGGAAGACAATGGATTGGGGAACGAGGGAGGTCTTAATCTTGGGAATCCTGGGTGGGCCTTGCTGAATCTTGTCTATGGTTTTTGAGTCATGACTTTTTCCAAAGGATTTACAGAAATGTGGGTCAGATGTCTGCATTTGTTCTTGTTGCTAACACTTCTAGATAAATGGTGTAAGAGGCAGTCTAATACAGAATTTGGAATCCAATTTTCTGGGTTCAAATTTCAATGGGTTCTATTTCTGGGTTCTATTTCACAATAGAACTTCCATGTTCTAGTGTGAAACTTTGTGCAACTTAATCATGTCTTTGTGCCCCAGTTTCCTCATCTAAAATGGGGATGATGGTAACGTACCTACTTTACATCGTAGGGTTACATATGATGCCCAAGTGAGTTAGTACGAATGGAGCTTTTAGAAAAATGTTTGCCACACTTCAAGGTGCTTGTTAAATGTTAGCTGCTCCCATGCCTTTCAAGTTATTTTTATTATAACATAGAACACATTTCAAAATTATATGTAATTAGGGGCCAGGCACTGTAGCTCTTGCTTATAATCCCAGCACTTTGGGGGGCTGCAGTGGGAGAGAAGCTTGAGGCCAGGAGTTTGAGACCAGCCTGGGCAACATAGTAAAACCCCATCTCTACCAAAATTAAACATTAGTTGAGCATGGTGGTGTGTGCCTATAGTCCTAGTTACTGGGGAGGCTGAGCCAGGAGAGCCCTTGAGCTGAGGAGTTGGAGGCTGCAGTGAGTTATGATCACTCCAGCCTGGGCAACAAAGCAAAACACAGTCTCTAAAAACAAACAAACAAAAACAAATATATGTAATAATTCTTATTTCCTTTCACATTTTCCCTACTAGTTTCTCGGGACACAATATAGAAAGACAAAGGCACTAGATTCTACTTAAAACTCTTTCTCTTGAAATGGAGTGGGCTTGAATGAGACTCTCAACTGCTTAGGTCTGCACTTCCTCAGCCCAAATGGAAGAGAAGAATCACTCTCTTGCTTAATTCATATCTTACTGCGAGAAACCAAGGAGACCAAGCATGTGAAATGTTGTTATAAACTGTTAAGCTTTAAGCAAAAATGAGGAGGAAATGCAAAGCAGGTTTCACCCATACCGATGATGTATTGCTGTGAAAGCCACTCTGGCCCATGTATTAAAGAAATTCAGTCGCTGAGTGAGATCATTAACCCAGGAAGTCAGTGGCTTACATGACATGTAGGCGTTTTTCTGTTGGGATTTAAAGACAATCATATTAATTTTTTTTTTTTTTTAATGAAAGCTGACATTTTATTTATTTATTTATTTTTTGCAGTTTTTGGCCAGGGCTGGATTTGAACCCACCACCTCCGGCATATGGGGCCAGTGCCTTACTCCTTTGAGCCACAGGCACCACCTGACAATCACATTAATTTTTCTTTTTAGATTTGTCTTTGGGGTCATTAGGAACACTTCTGCAATAGGCTCAATTGCTAGGGAGAAATAACTTGTCAGGAGGATGTCGTTTTCCAACTGAAAGCCATAATACAAAATTTTGAATATTATTACCAGGGCAAAACAATATTATCTTAACAGTGCATTGGATAAAACACTTGGAAGCTTCCATTCTGGCTGAAGGTTTTAATCACTCTTCTCAAATCCTCAGCCCCCTTTCCTCCTTCCTGGGAGCTTCCCTTCACATTTCATTAGGTGTGGGGCAACTTCAGCTTCCTGGCCTTTCCCCCTGCAAAGTTCTATAAACCTCCTCATGCTGTCTACTCCTTTCCCCACTTTTCCTTCTAGCTCGGCGTCGAGCTGACCCCACCATTGCTCTGCAGAGCACTTCTGGAGTATTTCTTCTCTTCTGTAGACTCAGCTTTCTATTCTCTCTCTCTCTCTCTCTTTTTTTATTATCATGCTCTTCTATCTTAAATACACAAACCACCCAAAACTCAAGCCCACCTCTTTGTGGGAGAGGAGCAGGAGGAGGCCTTGCACCCCCCTGCCTCATTCTCCTTTGTTTATAGTCAGGCTTCTTGAAGCAGGAAGCCTTTGGTCCCTGTTCCCTCTTCTGGAGTCTTTCTTAGAAAGGAAGGTCATGTTTATGACCCTCCCCACCCACCCCAGCCCCATTTTTGTCCTAAACTAGTTACTCCTTCTTTCTCTCTTGCCTTGTCTTCTGTGTCTGGACTTTGTCTCAGATTTCTCTTGAGTTGTCTATATCTTCTAAGGTCTCATCCATTGGCTCTTCCTTCCTTTGAGGCTGATGGTGCCCTGAATCCCTCAGCCCCTTTCTTTTCCTATTTTAGACTCTCTCTTCTGGGTTTAATCCATGGCTCTGGTTTCCACTACTTTGCCTAGGCTGATGGTACTGAAGTCTTGCTTTCTAGCCCATGCCTTTGTGCAACTGCTATTTTAGTAGTAACACTTGGGAGCCCCTGTAACTCTGACACTATCCTTGTCTGAAGCAGGATGTGTTAGTGGTGCCTCAGGCAGCATTTCTTTTTGTCCACCTTGCCTCTGCATGGCAGCACTCCCTACCAATCATCCAGGCTGGTCATTTCCACCTGGCTACTCTCAGCTATTGTTACTGTGTCAAGTATGCAAAAGTCTCAGCTATAGATAATCATACATATAATATCCTGATGCATGTTCTGTCACCCTAACTTTGCACTAATATATGTTTCAGCTCCTTCACTACTTGGCTTTCTTTCTTTCTTTTTTTTTTTTTTTTAAATTGGCTAAATGTGATGGTACAAACCACTAGGTTACAATGTTTGCATTTGTTAGGTAAAGTCCCTCTTGTAGTTATGTCTTGCACCTCAGGGGTGTGCCATATACCCTTACGCTGTGCCCATTAAGTGGGGGCACACCCATCCCCTTCTCTCCTCCCCTACAACTTGGTTCTCTTAGCAAGTAATGGAGCCTCTTTGCGCCTCAGTTTCCATATCTGTAAAATAAAGGCATTGGAGTAGAGGATCCCTAAGATCATTTCAAACTCTCAAGTCTTATAATTCTAGACATTATTCCACATCTCAATTTTTCATCACAGTTTCTAGTCAGTTTTAAAGAATTATAGTTGCCCTTGTTTCCTCTAACTTGTCTTCATGTTTTCTATATAGGTTTTAAAAATATTATTGAGGTGGCACCCATAGCTCAGTGGGTGGAGCGCCGGCCACATACACTGAGGTGGTGGGTTCAAACATGGCCCGGGCTAGCTAAACAACTGCAAGAAAAAATAGCCAGGTGTTGTGGCAGGCGTCTGTCGTCCTAGCTACTTGGGAGGCTGAGGCAAGAGAATTGCTTAAGCCCAAGAGTTAGAGGTTGCTGTGAGCTGTGACACCACGGCACTACCAAGGGCAACATAGTGAGACTCTATCTCAAAAAAAAAATTATTGAGATATAATTCATATGCATACAATTTACTTGTTTAAAGTTATGAGTCAATGGTTACCAAGTTGTGCAACCATCACTACAGTAAATTATAAAACATTTTCATCTGTTTGGGTGTGGTGGCTCACACCTGTAATCCCAGAGCTCTGGGAGGCCAAGGCGGGCAGATTGCTTGTACTAAGGAATTTGAGACTAGTTTGAGCAAAAGTGAGACCCTGTCTGTAAAAAAGTAGCTGGGCATTGTGGTGGGTGCCTGTAGTCTCAGCTACTTGGGAGGCTGAGGCAAGAGAATCACGTGAGCTCAAGAGTTTCAGGTTGCTGTTAGCTATCATGCCAGGGCACTCAACCCCAGGACAACTGAATGAGATTTTGTCTCAAACAACAACAAACAAACAAACAAACAAATCATTTTCATCGCTCCCCAAAAGAAAAAACCCTTCTTGAATTCTTTAGTATTCATGTCCCAATTCCCAGTCACCCTGATCCCTAGGCAACCAGTAATCTACTTTCTCTCTGTATGGATTTGTCTGTCCTGGACATTTCATGTAAGTGGGATCAGATACTATGTGGTCTTTTGTAAGGGCCTTTTCTTAGTGCAGAAGAACCACTGTTTTCAAGGTTTATCCATGTTGTGGCTTGTGCCAGTACTTCATTCATTTTGCTGCCTGAATAATATTTTGTTGTAGGGATGTATCACATTTTATTTATACATTTATCAGCGATGGATGCACATGAGTTGTCTCTACACTTTGGCAATTATGAACAATGCTACCATGAACATTCATGTGAAAGTTTTTGTGTGGACACAGTTTCATTTTTCTTGGGTATATACCTAGGAGTGGAATTGCTTAACTTTTTGAGAAACTGCAAGCTGGGATGGGGAAACTGTGGCCTTCCAGATCCCCAGGTGTGGCCCCTTGACCGAATCCAAACTTCAGATTTGTTCTGTAAAATTTGGATTTGGTCAGAGGCTGCACTCAAGGATCCAGAAGTCCACATGTGGCCCCAAGGCTGCAGGTTCCTGGCTAGACTATTTTCCAAAGTGGCTACACCATTTTACATTCCCGTGAGTGATATATAAGGATTCTAGTTTCTCCTCATCTTCTCTAATGCTTGTTATTATCTATCTTTTTGATTCTATGCATCTTAGTAGATATAAAGTTATATCTTATTGTGGTTTAAATTTGCATTCTATGATTATACATCACGTTGAACATCTTTTTACATGTGTACATAGGTTTATAATCTGATACAGGATTCAGGGTTTTGGGAAAGGCCAGTGCTAATTATAAGGGGGAAATTTCATTTCTGGAGCCATAGTTCTGAGTCCAACATCATGTTTGTTAATTTCCTATTCTGCTACTAGATCTTCCACAGCTGATTTTATTCTTTGTCTAAGGTCTAATAAACTTTGTGTTTTTACAATTTGGCCTTATTCTTAGGGCCATGAAACAGTAATTTCTTCATCTTCTTGTTTTGCTTTATTTTTATTTTTTAACTTAAAAATGTTTACTTAATTTTTTTTTTTTTTTTTGCTTACAAAAGCAATATATTTCTGTTTTCTCTGTGATGCTTGTATCTGGAAAAAGCAATACATGGTATATTGTCACTGTAGAAATATGAAAATATAGAATAGTATAAGGCGGGTGTAGGAATCATTAATAATTATCCAGAGAAAATGTTAGTTTTGTATGTTTTCCTTCAGTTCTCTCTCTCTCTCTCTATGTGCACATATACAAGCACAGCACCGCATATGTATATATACAGTTGATTCTCCTTATTTGCAGTAGTTATGGTCGATATAAAGTTCACTGTGAACACTAAATTAGCAAATGTGCTGAACCATTGTTCCTGGGCTCAACATTTTCATCAGCCAGTCAATATACAACCTTTCTTTATGTGGGTTGATGTTAAAGACACCTCATCAAATATATTTTATTGGTTCCTCTTTTTCCTTCTTGCATTTTAGAGTTTCCATTAGCATTTGCTTGTACTGAAATTTCTGTTCATTCTCCTCTTTTAGGTTTATTTTTGTCTTTTTTTTTTTTGAGATGGAGTATCACTTTGTGATCCTTGGTAGAGTGCTGTGGCATCATAACTCAAAGCAACCTCAAACTCTTGGGCTCAAGTGATTCTTTTGTCTCAGCCTTCTGAGTAGCTGGAACTACAGGCCCCCACCACAATGCCTGGCTATTTTTAGAGATGGGGTCTCTATCTGGCCCAAACTGGTCTTGAACCAGTGAGCTCAGGCAATCCACTCACCTCAGCTTCCCAGAATGCTGGGATTACAAGTGTGAGCCATGGTGCCTGGCCCTCATCTTTATTTTTAAAACACAAGTTTTGTCTATATTGTTCTAGTTTAACAGTTAGTGTCTTGCAACACTGAACTCACAGTCAACAATACTATAAGTCATTTCTGAACAGAGCTTACCTAAAGCATGTATTTTCTCCAGAAGGCAAATCATAGCCTTGCTCTTAGAAATACAGGGAGCATTTTGGCAGTATGCTTGGGAGCCATTTTAAACGGAGAAATCACCAACAAAACCCACAAAACACTTGTTTACAATACCAGAGCAGAAATAAAATAGGAAGACTTCAAATGTCATGAGTGTTGATTTCAGTGTTAAAAAATTTTAGTGAGTAGGTAAATCATAAAAATCCATGAGCAGTGAGGATGGACGTTGTGCGTGTACGTGTATACTTTTGTCATGATTTATGAACTTTATTATGTTAGTACTGTGGCTGCAGTTCACTCCCTTCCGCTACCGTGTCATCTACTGTATATACCATGTTTTCATCCACTGTATTGTGAATGGCATATTTGAGTGTTTCAGTGTTTTTACCATAATAATTTTTGT